AGAGTCTGACCGTCTTGAAACATCTGCTGCATTTCTTATCAGAACGCTCCAAGATATCATTCCACTCGTTTTTGCCATAGGATCTGCAACGTGTGTACAACCTTGTGGTGTGACTTGCCATTGCTATTCGCACTGCTTAGCCACCGCACGCGCCGGCCGCAATCGGGCTGCGGGTGCGGGCCACTCAAGCACCACGGTGAGGTGCAGTGCTGGACCCAGGGCTGCCAAAATGGAGTTCTGGGCCCAAGTTGCTTGAGTTGTGCGTGTGTGAGAGAAAACTGTACGCAGAGGGAGCGGCCACTCCCTGGTCATCCGCGGAGGAGGCAGGAGAGCAGTGCTCGTGTTGAGTAACTGCAGAGAGGAGAGCGGCGGAGAAGGAGGATGAGGACGAGGACGAGGACGAGGAGGAGGAGAGGCTGGAGCTCGAACGAAGGCCTGGGCAGTTGGTTGTTTTGCATATGGCTGCCGCGGGGCCTCGGCGGCCTCGGCCACCGACTCCGCGCCGATGGAGGTGGCCAGGGTGAAGCCCCGCAGCGCCTGGCCGTGCGGGTCCCGTGCGGGCCCCGGCTCGCCGTCATCACACCATCGTCCAGCGACCCCCTCCTCCCTTGAACGAAGGATTGCAAAAAAAAAAAAAACGAAGGATTGCAAAAAAACGAAGGATTGCAATCCTTCGTGTCTTTTTGTTTTTTTTGCTATCCTTCGTTTTTTTTGCAATCCTTCGTTCGAGGAAGTAGAACTATGCACAGACACCGATTCTGGCCAGGCCCATCCTGAGCCCAGGATCGGCGCATGCGCACTCCTGCCCAGGCCAGGAGGGCACATGCACCGATCCTGGGTCCAGGATGGGCCTTGCCAGGATCGGTGCATGTGCATAGTCCCCTTCGCCCGACCTCCGTCCCTCTTCCTCACACACTGGAGGCCAGCCCGCAGGAAACCTTCCACAAGAAACCCGACCCTGAGACCCCAGGACGTCCGTTGATTTTTGGTGTGTCCAGACGGTCCCTCGGAAGCTCTCTCCAGGTCCTTCCAGGGTTCTTCGACAGGCCTTCCCACGCCACTCTGGCGCCCTGCTATCCGGGTTTTGAATCCCACAAGTTGGCGTGGGAACGCCACGCTTTACTTGGCAAAACCATCGAAACCCAAGAAACCCAGGGCACCCTGAAGGCAAGCAGAGTGTTTCTTGGCATGGGCCCCCACTGTAAATAACTCCTCCCTGTCGCACCCCGAGACGTGTCGGTAGGGCGGGCCGGGCGTTTCGCCTGAGACTTCCTTGCCATGTGTGACCCTGAAGCTTCAAAAGTGGCAGCAATTTCACACATGGAGGGCGGGTCGCTCCTACAATGTGGCTCCCGCCTCAGCGCCGCGCACATTCGTTTCAACAATGAAGAACGGCTTAACGGATCGAGGGCGGGCCGTCTTCAAAGTGTGGTTCTCGCCTTAGCGCCACGAACATTCGTCTTCAACAGTTGCAAGAGTTTCACTGGTTCCCATGAACAGCGTACAAGAAATTATGTTTTGGAACGATTGGGGATTGCCAGGGCGCACCACTTACTTGCGTTGATTCGCGGTGCTGAGGTCCATAACTGGCTTTCTGGCGCGATTCAGGGTCGCCAAGACGCAACGGTCAGATTGATTCGTGGCGCTGGAGTCCCAAGAATGGTGCTTTGGCACGCTTCAAGATCTTCAAACAATTGTCTCCCAACGGGGCAATTAATTCCCTGTGGTAATGAATCCCTGTAGGGGCCCATGAAGAGGGAGCTTGGAGGAAGGGATTATTCCACCTTCATTGATGAGTCTGGGGCTTACACTGGTCCTCCTCCTCCTCCTCCTGCTCCCTTCCTCCCTCCCTCCCTCCCTCCCTTCCTCGTTCCTACTCTCTCCGTCCTACACATCCGCTCTCCTACGCCGCTCTCCTCCTCCTCCTCCTCCTCCTCCTCCTCCTCATCATCATCATCATCAGCAGCAGCATCATCAGCATCAGCATCAGCATCAGCATCAGCATCAACATCAGCATCATCATCATCATCATCATCAGCAGCAGCAGCAGCATCATGATCATCGTCATCATCATCATCATCATCATCATCATCATCATCATCATCATCATCACTTTCATCGTCATCGTCATCGTCATCATCATCATTATCATCATCTTCATCATCATCAGCATCATCAGCATCAGCATCATCATCATCATCATAATCATCATCATCATCATCATCCCCTCTTCCTCCTCCTTCTCCTCCTCCACCTCCACCACCATCATCATCACTATCATCATCAGCAGCATCATCATCATCGTCGTCAGCGGCGGCGGCGGCATCATCATCGTCATCATCATCATCAGCATCATCGTCATCATGATCATCATCATCATCATCATCATCAGCATAATCATCATCATCAGCATCATCATCACCACCACCATCATCAGCAGCATCATCAGCATCACCACCACCACCATCATCATCATCACCACCATCACCACCACCATCAT